TAAATTATTTGTTTGCTAACTATACGTTCCAACTTAATTAATTTATAATAAATCAAATAATTTTCCCTAAATGTTGAAACCTCCTGCCAAAATATCCCCAAATGATCCCCAAACTAATGAGCATAGTTAAAATGTAAAATTAATTTTTCGGTTGCCAAGTATATGGTGGTCCATCCGGGCCTTAAAACTACAGGATTCTAATTATTCATCGATGATTTTATGAATTGATATTACTTGACCCCTAATAATGGAGTTCATGACAGATAACTTCTAATTTTTCGTAATTGGATTTGGGGGAGGTGAAATGGGGATGGGGAGAAGAGCTCATATGGAAATATTCTATAAGATTCCCTATAGAAAATCCTACAGGATTCGCCTATCGTAAATCCTATAGAATTGGGCGTGAAGGAGAAGAGAAGGGTGGGCGTATTTACATAAGAATATTCTGTAAGAATTGCTATAAAAAATCATATAGAATTTACCTAGGTAAATCATAGAAGATTACTATAGAGGCAAGTATGACAGTTTACTGATCATTTTTTGTCTGTCGAAATGCAATGGTCTTGGGGGCGGCGAACAGGGGGAGGAAGGAAAAATTCATATGAAAATATTCTAGAAGATTTTCTATAGAGCATTTTAACCAAAAGGATTTTTTGTTTGATATTCTATTCAATTCCCGATCCGATTTCTCTCAGCTTTTCCTTTAACATTCACTGTAGGGTTTTCTCTGTGGAATATTCTCTAAGAAATCTTTTTGAATTATTTATAGCATTTAAGTATAGGGAGCATAAACATAAAAAAAATCCATGATTTTGATTTTTTTTTTAATTTTATTTATTTTTGTTTCTTTTCTTGTCTTCGGTGATTCCTCAGTCTTTCTGAAATCCAATGTCGCACATTTTCCAGCGACAGCAGGTATTCGAGAAAAATACGCTTCCGTTCATTAATGGTTTGATTCTCTGTGGTAGGCTTCGTTTCCTTTTTTGTTCGACTTCTCCTTACGATTTCCAGGTTCCCCCCGCTTCTTACAATTCGCAAGAGCGGGAGCTGCGAATACTTATCCTTACGCTTTATAAGTAATTTTTAAATTACTTATAAAATAATACTTATCCTTATGCTTTATGAGCAATTTTTAAATTATAAGTATCCTTATAAGTATCCTTATATCCTTAATATTATAAGTATGCTTATAAGCATAAGGATAAGTATTCGCAGCTCCTGCTCTTGCGAATTGTAAGAAGCGGGGAGAACCTGGAAATCGTAGGGAGAAGTCGAACAAAAAAGGAAACGAAGCCTATTTACGAAGCCTAAATACGGAAGCGTATTTTTCTCGAACACCTGCTGTCGCTGGAAAATGTGCGACATTGGATTTCAGAAGGATTGAGGAATCACCGAAGACAAGAAAAGAAAAAAAAATGAATCAAATTTTTAAAAAATCCAAATCACGGACTTCTTTTATGTTTATGCACCCTACACTTAAATTTTATAAATAATTCAAAAAGATTTTTTGGAGAATATTCCAGAGAGAAAACCCTACAGTGAATGGTAAAGGAAAACCTGATCAAGGGACCGATCAGGTTTACCGACCCCTGTGGTATTTCAACACTGCTGCCATCTTGCGGGATCCCCCGTATCACTCTGTCATTGCACAATACCCCCATATTATTCATTACTTATAATTTATTTAAATAAACCAGTTAATTACCCTAAACTGACCCAAATCATTTATATTTCAATATTTATTTAACTTATTCATATTAATTTTATGATTTTTGGCCCTTTTATGCATAAAATTAACTACCACCCA